GAACATCATGTTGTAGCTTTGCTCCTTAATCTTTTTACATGTTACAGAGAAGGCCAGTCGAGTTCAGCTTTCTGTTAGCACCTTTCAGTATGTTACCTGATCACCCGCCACTTTCCTGCCACATGGCTGAGGGGCCAGAGCAGAGAGGGGCTGTGTGCACATGGTCTGAGAACAGGGCCACCTGAAGGGGTGGGAAGACGAGAGGCCCCAGACTTCCCATGAGCTGCTGTAATTCAGCATGTCCTGTAATTTCTTGAAACTTCAGTTTCCTCAGTTGTAAAATCGAAGAAGGCTTTTTCTTCTCAAATGAAACATTCCTTTTGGGAAAGCAGAGGATGGAGGAGAGTGTAAGATTCTATATTTAAAAGTGAACAAGTACAGTCACCACGTGTCATAGTTGTTCTTCTGTTTGTTTCATTTTGGATATTGGTGAGAAACCATAATAGCAGAGATAAAAAGTTAATGAGCACATGACTCATATGAGTTGTGCAATTTTAATTCTTAAAAAATAAGAAACACTAGTAAATAATGCCTTTAAAACTGTTCTCTATTTTTTAAAAAAACCTAAAGCTGTAGGTCAAATTTGAAGACAGAAGCTCCCCTTTTATTGAAGGGGAGCAGCACCTCGCAGTGGGGGAGGGTCAGAAAAGGGCCGCAGTAGCAGTAGAGGGGAGGGTTTGAATGAAACTTGGTTGTAGCCTCGGTGCTCACACCAGATCACTGACACCTGAGGGGGGTCTGTGATGCTGTTTTGAAATGTTGAGACCATAAGCAATCAAATCTAAAATGTTTTTGGCATTCAAATAATTTTAAAAATAAATGTTTGCAGTCTGTTTTGTTTCCTGTTTAGTTCCTTCTGCTCATGGTGCATTCACAAAAGCCAGTTTGCCTGACTTACCGTATCATAGAAATGGTTTCAGAATCCAAATTTGTTTTCAGAGAAGCTTGCTCCTATCGGGTTATCCAAAACTCTACTTTAGAGTGGATTTGACTTCCTTGTTTAGAATAGGGAGGAAGAGAATGGGAGAATGTGGCGTTGTATAAATTTCTAGGCAATTGTTGACTGCCTCATAGAAAAACAAGGCTTGGCTTTGCTGTGAAATGGGCCCAGGACTTCAACCAGGCTGTCATTGTTCTGTTTCTAGGTGCGGTCATTGTAAGAATCTGGCTCCTACTTGGGAGGAACTCTCTAAAAAGGAATTCCCTGGTTTGGCAGAGGTCAAGATTGCTGAAGTGGACTGTACAGCTGAACGGAATATTTGCAGCAAGTTCTCGGTGAGTACCTGTGGATGGAAGGAAACACTTACAGGGATGCTAAGTTATTGGGGGCAGATCCCCGGTAGGGTTGGAATTTGGTATTGTGGACTCAACCGAGATAACTCACGCTGCCCTCACCCCTTCAACAAAGCACTCTGTGTGTCCTTCTGAGGTGTTTTGTTTTTTTCACTTTGAAAAGCAAGAGATGCTCTCAAAAAGAAAGGCTTTCTCCCTCTGCTACTATACACATTTCAGTGGGGGTTTTAGGCCTTGCCCTCTGTGTATGAGGCTGGGCAGTGACTGAGACTCCACACTGGGGAATGGGGTGCCGCCCAAATGCACTTTCTCAGCAACAGAACAGTCAGCTGCTTTGTAGCCTTCATCGTAAATACCTAAGTGGCTCATTTTTTTGGCATAAGCCAGCATTCTGAAGTACGATGTCTGAATAAAGGAAACATTTGAACATAAACTTCCACCTGAGAGGGCCATACCAACAAGCCAGTCTTGTGCTTGGATTGTTTATTTAACTGCTGCCTTCTTTACCCGCTGTTCGCACCATCTACTAGCCTGTAAGATTTGTAATTTGTAGTTTTCTTTTGTGTTGTTTTCTTAAAACACCTGAGGCTTCTCAAATTACCTCATTCGATTGAGATAGATGTAGCATAGACATTTTTTCTTTATCATTAGAAGATACCAGTTACATATATATATTTTTTGTGCCTTAAAATTCTCAAAAGAGAAAAGAAGTGAGTTGCAGCTGAAAAATATATCTCCTTGTGGCTCTCGCTACTACTGACTGTGGCCCCCTCTGGCCCTGGGCGTCCCTGGGAAGTGTGTCAGCAACACAGAGTCTCAGGCCCCACACTGACCTGCTGCACCAGAACGTGCACTCTCATCGGTCCCCAGGGCTGCGTATGCCTGTGAAAGATTGAGATTTCCACTTTCAGGGAAAGGCAGCCCTTTGACTCTGATCTTGAATGTAATTTGGATTGGAAAGTGAATAAATAGCCCCAAGGCTTTGTTTTCTGAACTGTCTGGTACTTTTTAAGTAGTGTGTACACTTCATAGACTTTCCTGACCACAATAGTAGGCGTTTTTCTGGTTTTATATAAGAAGTAATTTGTGTATGGTTCAGACCACCGGTTTTCAAACTGCATTTTTTCTTTAAAGGTACGAGGCTATCCCACATTGTTGCTTTTCCGTGGAGGAAAAAAAGTCAGTGAGCACAGTGGAGGCAGAGACCTTGAATCGTTGCACCACTTTGTCCTGCGCCAGGCAAAAGATGAGCTCTAAAAACTCAGGTGGAAGTCCTGCCTGGCCCCCTGGACTCAGTGTGGAGGAGCCAAGTCCTGCAGATGTTGAGGAGTTTCAAGCGGTGGTTGTTCAGAAAGCTGAATGTACTGAACTTGTGGTATCTTCTTTGTGTGGGTGTTTTTAAGCCAACACACTCTACAGATCCTTAATATTAAGTTTCTTTAAGTAAATACTGTAACTCTATGACCCCTTTGCAAACTACAGATTTTCAGTGGCAATCTTTCATCCCCTTTAACCTTCTCTTGATGGAATCTAAATGGTTTCCTTTGAGACTAAAATAGAGTTGAGAAAAATCAAATTGCTGGATTATTTTTCGCTCCTGAGTGACTTTGGCTAAAGCATCATCCAAAGCATAGTTTTTAACTGCCCACAAGTTGAGAAAGATGGCCGTGTGGTAGTTATCGATGTGCCTCTGATCTGAAGGTCACAATTGACTTACTAATAATGTGGTTGGTCCGTAGCTTGGAGTAGATCTAAAAACAAAACCCTGCATCTCTGGAAGATACCTTCACACTACTCCTGGATTTTGTTTCTGTTAATACTTCTCTCATCATGAGAGGTTTGCCATAATGAGAGCAGTGGTACTTCAGACATGTGCCTGAGAAAGAGAACGCTGATGCCATAATCTTTTGTGTGTGTCGATATTTGTCATGTCGGTCATTACTGTTCAAGGGATACTTACTTCTCTTTGTTTCTCATGGGTGAAAGATCTAATTAGTTATATTAACATTAAGTCAGGGTCCATGTGAAGGTATTTAAGAGTTGAAGTCCATGTTGAAGTCCATGTTTAAGATTTGATATCTCCCATGGAAAGTTCCACAAGGCTGGTCCTGACTGTTCATTAAATCATAGGAAGATTCTGATTGTATTTGCCACCTAAGGCAAGAGGACTAGACGAGCTTTTCCAGGTCCTGGTATTGGGGACCAGGGGAAGCCTGCAGCCTCCTCCCTATAAGGCCCTCACTGGAAGCAGCTTCTGTCCTGCTCCTAGGAAGTCCTTTCAGAGGCTCCCTGTGCATCGTCTGCCTTCGCGGGGGCTGTCCCCCTGCTTTATGGAGAGTGGGATTAACTTGACCTAAAGACCAAAGAATGGAGTAGGCAGGGCTGAGTCACAGCTGATGGAGGCTGTGCTACCATCAGTGCTAGCTACCATCCTTACAATGTAAGCCATCCTGGCTATTAAACATTTTTACCATCACCCTTGGAAATAAGTAACCACAGGACTAGGCTTACCTTAAAATAGGCACCTGTATGTTCTTTGCTGTCAATTTACTTCTCATGATACCCGCTCTGGGTCTAACACTGTTCACCCTACCTCCCATGCTTGGGGAATCTAGCCACTTGGCACAAAGTAACTGATGGTACAAATCTTAGAAGCAAGAGCCCTTCTGCTCTCTGCGGCAGATGACAACAGAGCAGGATCTCGACCAGCCTCTGCCTTAAAGGAAATCTTTATTAATCACGTATGGTTCACAGATGTTCTTTTTAAAAACCCAATTTTCTGGAGAAGCACAATCCTCATGAGTGGCTTCAGCTTTGCATCATGAGTCTTGTATTGAAAGGAAATCAAAGTGGTACAATTTGTTTACACTATGATACTTTCTAAATAAACTCTTTTTTAAAAAAAAAAGTCTGGTCTTTCCTTAAAAGTTACAGCAAAACAGATATAAAATAGACAATAAATTACAGTTTATATTTACAAAAAAGCTGTAAGTGCAAGTAGTTATAGATCATAAATGTATTATTTAATCAGTTTAGTATGAAATTGATTTCCTAGTACATGATTGTGAAAAAGACATTTAAAAAATATTCTAAGATTTAATCCGAGTCTTAATTTCTACAAGAGAAAACTGATTCCGATTCATAAACAGCATGGCCATCCAGTCCCATTCCTAAAGGCTAGGAGCCCCTTTCTCAGTGTATTTCCTTGATTGGTTCTCACCTCTGACATGATGTGCTGTATAGTAAAAGGGAAAGAACTGTTTTACCAAAATAGATGCAATATTAGAGCCAGCGTTCCTGAAGTGAATGTGCTTTTCAGAGAGCCACTCCAAAAAAAGAGGTGCAGAACTGCTTTCACATGTCACATGGTTACAACGATGGCTATTAAAGATGCTTCTCACTCCTGGCAGCCTCTCCTTGAAGAAGGAGCTGACTGCTTTTGGTACTAGCAAAGGCAATGGCAAATGGGGGACAACTGAGGTGTGGAAATCACACGGTTTTCACACCGACAAAATGTCAGCACAAACATGTAACAGCAATTACTGAGACAAAAGGCACTTCCACATGGCCCTGGTTATGGCTTGGGCTATTGGTCCTATATGAAGTTGACCTTCCTAGGAATGAAATCAACAAATAGAGGCATTTCCCCCCCAATTTCTGTTAACTGTAACATCTATTTTTGAGAAGCGTCACTAAACTGACTGATATTTTAGCCAAGAATACTTTTATTCCTTTAAGATTATTTTCCTCCTTTTACTAACACCATGAACAGCTTGATTTAAAGCTAAAACTAATTTTGGTGGGCATTTTGCCGGGAAGAGGGACCCTTCAAAGTTACATTTCTGCAGTTACCAGACTTTATACTAAGGACATTCAAACAGCTTCCAACAGACCAACTACTCACGTTATTTACTATGTGAGCAAATCATTACTGAGGCCCTTTAACCTCTTCCTTGGGCAGTAAGGCACCGACCGGCATAAGATGGTTCAAAGTCATCATCCCACTTTCACTGTGCTTCTGTGTACTTTTTAAGGCAGATGTAACCTAGGAATCCAAGGCAATATTTGTGTCCCCAGCAACCAGTTTCGAGTTAGTGGCATCCACAAGCTCTTACGACCATATTCCTGTATTTTTTCAAGATGACATTGGAGTTGTCATCAAAGTAAAGGACTGAGATGGCATTTAGTTTAGTTGGCGCACAGCATGGTTTGGGGACATACTCAGGATTCATAAGGTGAACCTGTTCCAAAACAGAAGGAGGAAAGGGTTCCATTAGAAACTATACCTGGTCTTGGCTTACACCTGCCTATAAAGTGGCAAAGGTCTCTGAGAGCTCACCAGTGTCTGTACGATCGCGTGGTTCGTTGCATTCATGTGTGCATTGAGTGGGAAGGAGCATTCTCCATCACAGTAATTGGCAGCATAGCCCTTGGGTGCGATGATCCAGTCCTTACAGCAAAAGGAAGCAACAAAAAGGTGGTTAACATACACTTTTGTCATCTGTGCTCTCAATAATCCTGTGTGAAAAATTACATGGACAGGAAAGGAGACAGATGCAGGAAGGTCAATCTCACACTCAAGTGGCAAATCGAGGGTGGGGGGGTCCTGTCCTGCCTGACCCCGGAGTCCTTGCTCCTCCTACAGGCCCACATGGCATTTAGCTGCTACCTGCAGGCTCAGCCTGGGAGGACAGAGGTGGCTGGCTTTGTGTACTTGGATGCAGTGGAGCCTCTCCAGGAGCCCAGGGTACTCCCTGTCATCATGCCACGTACATATGGAAACTATCATCTATCACTTGCCACCTGTAACTTGCTTTTTATAAACGAGTGGTGGCTCTCAGGTGTGGGGCAAACATTTGTGCTCTTCTAGATAGTTTGGATGAGCCGATTTATAGCCATTGCAGAAGTTAACTATTGGTCCATTTCCCCAACTCTTTCTCAATACAATTAAAATTTGTTTAAATGCCCAAACGTGAATACATACCCTGTGAATTTTGAAAGAATGAGGGAAGAGTATTGGGAAAGGTGACTACTGACGCTGAGGTACACACAGCTGGGGAACCGTGGGGTCCCTGGAAAGGTGCCAGGAAGGGCTGTATGCACAAGTAGGCCAGGCCTTCACCCACCTCACACCAAGAGCCTGGGCATTTGGAAGGGCTCCTACATTCCTTCATGGGAGGCACCATCTTAGTCCTAAAGCTTAAGGTCTTTGATGAAGGTGAGAAGAGATTGCTGAAAAAGGAATTTTGTCTCTCTTGTTGTTCTGAGAACTCACCTGCCATCCCAGGTCTTGGAAGCTCACATAAAGCTCATGCTTCCTGCAGGCTGTTTTTAATTCACTGCTGTTATAATCTGTTGGAGGAGATCAAAAGGTGCACCCATTAACTCATTCATTCCCTCACCAGGCGCCATACTAGGCTCAGGATAGCAGTGAACAAGGCCCCTGCTAGACACAAATTTGGTCACCAAACAGCTCCATCAGGTTCCTGATCGCTTGGGTGTTTCACACTCTCCGTCTTGTGCACTGTAGGCTTAGCGCTGGGCACACTTGCAAATGATATATAATATGGACTTGAATGGACTCCTTTAAGCAACTGATGTTTGTTATGAGCCTCTCGTGTGCAAGCTCTATGGAGGGGGGTGCCGAGACGCCCAAAATTCTCAAGGCTCCTGACTTGGAAAATGTCGTTTTTATAGTAAAGGATGATTATCCTGGACAGGGATGGTGTTGAAGCTGTATGGAGGCCCTAGAGATGGCCGCTGGGCCAGGAAAGCATCCGGAGGAAGAATAATGGAACAGGCCCTGAGCGGGAGGCCCAGGAGCGAGGGGGACAGGGAGACACCGCAGCAGGGGCCGGTCTCATCTGCACTGTCCTCCAGCCTCACTGCCAGGGCTGAGCCCTTTGACCTGCACTTAGGCAACAACTCCTAAGCCGGTAGTGCCCTGTGAGAATCTGCTGAAGTGTGTATACTGCTGTGTGCAATTCAGGAGCCACCAGCCTGGCTTAACCTAATTAATCACTGGCAAGAGGATTGGAAGTGCCCTGGTTCGCTTAGGCTAATGGGAGCAGCTCTTGTGTGATGTGCCTTCTGCTAGGCATGATGGTAAAGAGGAGGAGAACTTAGAGGACATTTCCATCCTCCAGGAACTTAAGGAATCAAAAGGGTGGTGCGAGACCTGTACCCAACTAACTGAAATACAAAATAGCAGGAATGCTACGGGCAAAGGCCAGCGGGAAATCCCACTGGGAGTTCAGGGAGTGGGCAGGAGGAAAAGAGAGCAGTTCTATTGGAATGCATTTAAGGATATGAGGAGAAGTCAGCGGATATAGAGTTGGAGAAACTTTATCTTGATTGGCTTAGAACACTAACCAAAATTATTTGGACCTTCTACCAGAGGTATTAAGTAAGCCTTTGTAGGTTTCTGAGTCAGAGTGAAATGTTCAGAGCTGGGATTCTAAAGGATTGATCTGATGATAATGGTGCTTGAGAGTCCCAGAGAGGGGAGAGAGACGCGAGGTAGGAAGACTTTGGGAAAAGGTTCTTAATCTAAAATGGACTTTGATGGATACAAGAGCCTGAGTCCATTTGCGCACGACCTCTGTCCTTTTTGATCCCATGAGCCAATAAGTTACCTGGCTGCCTAAAGCCTGTCTGAGCTGGGTTTTCTGTTACTTGCACTCCTGGGCCCCCTGGCCCTGACACAGGACCCGACACGCAGATTTCATGATTTTGTGAGGGAAGGAGACAAGCAGCTCTGGCTCAGCCCAGTGACAGGCTCCCTTCCTGAGGAGGTTCCTAATTCTAAACTTATTCGTTCTCCCCAACCGTCTGTCTTTAACCTTAAAGAAGCCCACTTGCTGTCATTTAAAGGACCTGGAAGAAGTGAATGAAAACCACACTGGAGGGAAATTTTCACAAGGCAGGAGACCATCTCAGTAAAAACAGATACCTACCAGCATCACAAAACAAGACAAATACTGCCTGTTGAAAATAATCCCTCAACAAAAAGAATCAACCACACAAAGAAATAAAGTATCCTGAGAGGAGATTTGGAGTGCAAGACAGAGAAAATATAGGCCCACAAAGACTGCAGGCAATAGTCTCTGAATGAGGTTACAAACAATAATATCTAATATAATCAAAGATAAAATAAGAAATAGAACCCTAAAGCAAGAACATTGCAGAAAAAGAACATAAAGAATGGGTGGATTTGAAACAGAACCAAATAAAACTTTATAGAAAACATAAGCATTGAAAGTAACAACAAAATGGGCAGGTTAAACATCAGATTAGAGATAACTGAAGAGAGAATTAAAGAATTGAACAATATATTTGAAGAAACTTCCAGAAATATAGCCCAGGGTTGAATGGCCAGAAAATATGGCTATCTGTAAAGAGATATGGAATACAGAATAGAAGGTCCAATGTTATTTCTAATAGGAATCTCTGAAGAGACTAATGGGGAGATGTAATAGTTCAAGATATAAATGTCTGTGAATTTTTCAGAACTGAAGAAAGGCAAACTTCTTCAAATTGAGAAGGCACAGTGAGTCCTAAGCAGAGTAAGTAACTTCCTGTCTGGCCACATCTGGTGAAATTGTAGTAGGTCAAACTCATAGAGAAATTCTTACAAGCAACCCTGAGATGAACAGAAAATCACCTACAAAAGAACACAAAGTGGGTTGATAGCAAATTTCTCAACAGAAATACAACACATAAAACATATCAAAAACTATGCCATCAATGTACAATTCCATAAACAGCTATAGCAGTTATTTATTGTTCTGGCTACCCAGCTTGTAGGGACACTTCTCATTTGGGGGAATTCCTAGAGAGGTGGGAATCAAGGTCCCATTTCCCGAAACTGATAGCTACTGTTGTTGTCCCCTGGCAGATAGAGTGCAGGCTCCTGACTTCATTAAAGCCAATCCAGTGCACCCACTTGTGAGAGGGTGATTCAAGGGGGAAACTAAGCATGTGCAGCATGGCAGCAGGGGTTCGGGGTGATGGTTCCAGTGGTAGCATTCAGACCACGTTGTTCCCACGACCAGGTTCAAGCTAGACCTTGCTTCTGAGTTGTGTTCTCCAGCCTCATTGGTTGAGTCAATATGCTTAGATTATTTTTCACTTTAAGTAAGTTAGCGTTTGCTTCTATTCCATGTAATCAAGAGCCCCGACTAGCTAAATTATCATTCATAGTTAGAGGATAGGAAGCATAGGGCGGAGCGGGCTATCTCATACAGGGTTGATGAGCCCATCTTTCTGCTGATGTATATCTTCTAAGCAGAGACCTGAAGGAACTTCAGGAGCAAGGCAGGAGTCTGTCTGAAGGAAGAATAACAAATATGAAAGCCTTGAGGAAGTGTCCTGCTTGGTATAGTCCAGGCACAGTGTGACGGAGGCTGCTATGAATTTATTAAAAATCCATATCCTCCATCTACCCCCAGGGCACACAGCTATCTGACATTCCCCGCCGCAGTTAGTTGTGGCCAGGTGCTGACCCCTGCCCACGAATGTGGGGAGGAGGGGAGTGTGCTGCTCCCAGGCCTGGCCTCCTAAGCTCGCCTGCAGCCCTCACCTGCTCTCTCCTCTCCTGGCAGATACAGGCAAGGGTCTGTCTCCTGGAGACTCCAAGGCCCTGGTCCCCTTGCACTCTTGAAGGTGTCCTGGGTTAGATAAGCTATGTGGTCACCCTACTTATAGTCTCAGTCTGGAATGTCCCATGCCCAACCTCGTTTGGCCTGTGTCCCCTAAAATAAACTTCCTTTAAAAGATCTTCTCTGTGCTGGGGACCAAGATCTCCCCAAAATCAAACTTGGAATTGTTGGCCATGTGAAAGATTTTTAGGATAGGTTTCCTGCCCAGGTTAGTGAACATGGGCAGAGTAATATAATACAGAGTATATCTGTTTTTTGTCCTGGTTCCTGCCACAGAACTATAAAAACCATGGAATTTCCTAACTGATAATGCCAACATATGGTGGGGCCCTAGATGGCTTCAGGATGGGGGCTGGTCACCAGGAAGACCAACTATATGATTAGAGAGTTGGAACTGTGGGCCAGCCTGGCCACCATGGAGGGAGACTGAGTTCACTCACGGGGCCAATGATTTAATCAACCGTGTATAGTAATGAGATCCATATAAAAACCCTGAATACTGAGGTTCTGTGGAACTTTGGGGTTGGCAAACACATTGGGAGAATGAACCACCCAGATTCCATGAGGAGAGAGCACGGAAACTCCGTGTCTACCCCCAGACCCCATACCCCCCATCCCCACGGAGCTTGCCCTGTACATCTCTCCCATGTGGCTCTTCTTCATGTGCATCCTCTATGATAAAACTGTAATAATAAGTATAGCACTTTACTGAGTTCTGTGAGTTACCTTAGTGAATTATCAAACTGAAAGGCGGGGAGTGGGGGGGTCATGAGAACCCCCGCGCTTGTAGCCAAGTCAGACATAACTGGTGGGCGGGGGACCCTATCTGCAGCTGGCATCTGAAGTGAAAGCATCTTTCTGGGGACCTCGCCCTTGAACTTGTGGCATCTGTGTTAACTCCAGGTGGTTAGTGTGGGACCGAAGTGGATTGCAGGACACCTAATCGTGTCAGAACCAAGACTGGGGCAACTTCTGCATGTCTGGATTTCCAGCTGCTCTGCAGGATGGAAACAAGATGACGTAGTGAAGAACTTCTACCTTCAGCACAGTTCTTGTTGTCTGAACCTCTTGCTAATTTGACTCTCTCAGTTCTCAATGAAGAGAACTTTCTTGGCAAGAACAGCTATTTCTTTTAGAGCTACATATTGGCATTTTTGATGTTAAGTAAAAACTGGGGCCAGAGAGAGGAACGGAGGAATTTGGCTCTCCTGTTTTTCTTCTTACAGACTCTTCCAGGCCACACTTCAGTTTCCTTATAACTCCATGTTAGGTGCTGGCAAGGAATGTATAAATATTTGTGCAAGTCAATGCTCCTCAAGATACTTATGTCTGCTGCTGAGGGGACAGGATCCTATCCTGAGTTTGGTGGTGGAATTGCATTGCCATGCATTGTTTTTTTTTAGGGGTTCACAGATTGCAGAAAAACATTCCTCCCAGCCCCATCTCCCTTTGATATTTGGTTAGATGAATGGTGTGGATAGAGCCAATGAATATCTGTGCAGTTAAAATTTAATCGGCACATAGCGACTCCAGTGGGATAAAGGCAGGCAATACAGCTTTGTCCAAATGGTTCCCCAGTCAAGGACAGGGCAGAGGAAAGAAGCCATAGAGCTGAGGAGATGCAAACAAACAAACAAACAAAGAAGCCAGAGCAACAGACGAGAGGCTGACAAAACCATCCCCAGGAGCAGC